GAAAGTCACTAAAATGACTGAGTTTCATGCTTGACTCTTTCCTTCATCATTGGACTCACGCAGGAGTGCAAAAGTGATGGACATGAGCATGCTAATGGCAATACTTGCGGGCACAACAACTATACAGACTCTCAAATCAGTTCTCGGCGGAACTATTTCACCATACAAAGCTGCAACTCATCATCACCACCTGCAAAGCGGGACGTTGCTGCAGAGTTTTCAATGGATAAGAGAGGTTCCTCTTCTTCTCTAGAGTCTGCCAATATTTGCTTGTAAGAGCCCGATGAATGCGAGTGTAGAGACATCATGAATGAAGAAAGCTTGACCGGCTCGATCAACCTCACTTCAAAACAAGCAACGATGACGTACTTCTTTGGTAATGTTGAACGGATGTAAAGCCAAAGAGTGAAGGGATTGTTAGAGGTATCACATCAGAAAGAACCGTCAGAGGTATCATAATGTAAAGGATCGGTAGAGTTATTACATCAGAAAAGATCGCTAGAGGTGTTCTATCAGAAAGATATATCAGACGTATCCCGCTAGAAAAGAAACGGTAGAGATTTCATATCAGGAAGATTCGCACACCAGTGACAGAATCGAATTCGAAACGGATTTCTCGTATAAAGGTTCCAGATTATATATCGAAGTTTATCACACTTTCGTCGTGTATCTTTTCCGAAACCAGATCTTCCCGAATCGAATAAGCCTCTCTGTGTGTGGATTAGATTAGTAAGCGCGTGAGCAAATTCATTAAAAAAAAGCGGGGGAATTGCCTTAAATTAGAGTTCAAAGAAGAAAGTGATCTTGTGAAAGCATGCATACAAAGAACGATCATCTCTCCCTCAACAATGGATCAGATCATACCGGGATTATGGATAGGCGATCTTGCCTGTGCATTGGCAACGGATTATTTGGAAATGGCAGGGATAACGCACATCGTTACGGCGATGAAACAACGATTACCAAGTCCTATCACTTTACCCGATGGAAGAAAGATTGATGATGATCACATCTATCATGTCAACATAGATGATATCGAAAGTGCTCCTATCTTGGTGCATTTCCCTGGAGTGATTGAGTTCATCGATGAAGCACTTCAACAAACATGGATCGAAGATGGAGATGGAGAAGAAATTTCTGCAGAAACTCAAGATGAACAGAAAGCTTCAAATTCACGTACAAATCCACCACCAGGTAAAAAGCCAGGTCAATGGGCAACAATGGGAGAAGGAACTGTCTTGGTTCATTGTCATGCTGGAATATCAAGAAGTGTTGCAATCGTGCTGGCATATTTGATGCATATGCGTAAGATCAGCGTTCAAGATGCATTGAATCTCGTTCGTTCAAGACGTTCTATTGCCGATCCAAATTCTGGTTTCATGCATCAATTGGAGCTGTATGAATCAGCAGATTGTAGCGTTGATGTACGCAATCAGCGTATACGAAGGTTTCTGATGTCACAAGCTTCCATCTTACGTGGTGATCCGATCGATGATGTTTTATTGAGTTATTATCCTAGCCCTCTACATAGTCCCGCAAACAGCTTTCCCGGATCGACGCAACAAGGCAGCGGATCAGGAGGAATTGGTGGAATGGGTTTGCAATTCTCAAAATTGGACACGAGTGATTCCGGTAGTAGGAAATCAAGTGTCGGACATGCGGCCAGTGATTCGGATCATCAATCACCAATAAGTAGTGGCAGGAATAGTGCAACGATGTCAAGACAGAATAGCAGAATCGCAGCATCTACAGCCGCAGCTAGAGGAGCGAATGAAAGACATAGAAGGTCAAGTCGATCAGATGGAAGTGATGCAAACACAAATACTGCCAAACAAGAAGGAGAAACTACTTTGGATTTGTCTAAATCACCTCCAATGCCGGATGAGAACAGTCAATTGTTTGATGAAGATGATGAAAGGGAAAATAAACGTCTACGTGATGAAAAGGTGAACAAGTTGATTAGAGAAAACTTCACAAGCATTAGTGAACCGCACGAAGTGATGATCACTGTGAATTCAGGGAATTTACCCGGAGGAGTGAACAAAGTACGGGGTAACCAAGCTCGATCAGAATCATCACGAGCGCAAACGAATAATTCTTCTTCCTTACCCAAACCTAAATTCAAAGCGATGAAACTTCGATGCAAAAAGTGTAGAAGGGAATTAGCAGCACAAGATCATGTTGTTGAACATGAAGCTGGAATGGGAAAAGATGCTTTTGACGTTCGTAAACGGGAGAAGGACATTGAACAAAAGAGCAGGGATAATCGTGCAACGATGGAACAATCAAATACGCAGGATTTGACGTTGGAAGAACGATTTGGAGCTACCGAACGGCCCTCAGGGAACGATGTGACAGAAGAAGAAGAAACGGAGAATGCAAAACCTATCCCACCAGCGCCATCAGCCTTCAAAAGTGCTGCCAGTCTTTCTGCTCAGCTACCACCCCACCTCGCCGCCTTGAGAAGAGGTACCCCAGCAGCACCACAGACAAATGGGAACTCCATCCCATCAAGACCGCCACCTTCCGCTACTCAAAGTCAAGCATCAACTCCCTCTAACGACTTTCGCAAGATGTTGCATTCACACCTTTGCAGCTCTTATTTCGTTGAACCTTTGGCTTGGATGACAATGTTACGTTCAGGCGAAGTGGCGGGAAGGTTAGATTGTCCTACCGCTCGTTGTGGTGCAAAGTTAGGCAGTTGGGATTGGGCAGGAATGCAATGTGCTTGTGGAGCCTGGGTAACACCAGCATTTGCATTACATAGATCAAAAGTAGATGAAGTATAAAGTTTAGATGGAAATATAACATTGTATACATTGTATTTATATTATTGCAATACATTCTCTTTCATTTGTTATGCGTCTAATTTACGACCAAACGTTAAGCCATACCCTAATGCTTGATCACCTCGCTCTAATGCAGGCCAACTTTCACCTTTTGATTGTTTGACGAGAATTAGATCAACTTTGAATCGAGTGACAGAGAATGAACTTGCTTCCACATCAATTGCACCGTATGGTTTAAGGATACGGTTATACCTTCTCTTCATTTCAGGTTGGGCCGGTAAAGCGGGAAGTGCTAGGGAAAATGTCACACTTTCTCCTTCCAACGTAATCTTTGATCGATCCATTTCTACACCTTTTGCATATACTGTCACACGAACATCATTGGGTGTTTCATAATGATCGATCCTGCAGTCTGCTTCGATTTCGTCTGTATCTTTGCCGGAAGGCGGCCCATTCGTTTGAGATGATTTGATTGCTTTCGCTCCACCTCCAACAAACAAATGACCAGTCTTTGCTTCCGTGCAAGGTTCAATCGTCAAGAACTCATCAAATTCCAACACCCGTCTCTTACAGCATGCATATCCTTTACTACCTTCATGAAAGATTGGTTGACCAGGATGGAAGCGGCATTCTTCCGAATTTCTATCTCTACTTGTACCAGCAAACTTTTCATTGCATCCTTTGCGTTTACATGGAGCACCTTCTCCAACTACTGCTCCTGCAGGATCTTCTTCCTCTACAAATAGACTTGCAGGATCTGCTTTTTGAGATCTTTGAGCATTTTGTTGTTGAATTGCGTTCAGTCTTGTACTTGACATTGGTGTTAGGGAAGAGGTGGAAGCTATGGGAGCAGGTGTGTTTGCTTGTCCATTTGAGGTAGGTGCTTCGGTTGTTACGTCTCCAGAATTCTCTTTAGCAAATGAAGTTTTTGCTTGTTTAACGTCTGTATGTTCATCTGATTCCGTACATCCTTTTATTAACATGAATTCATCAAATTCTAATACTGGCTTATTACGATCTTTGCAGCATGACCAAGATTTTGATCCTTCATGAAATACTGGTTTGCCAGGATGATGCATGCATGGTCCTTTTCTTGATGAAGTGGAAGATGGATCGAAATCCACTCCACAGCCTGGTCTTGTGCAAATTGTCATTATGGAGTAGGGAGATGATAGTAATACGAATGCCTTTTGCAATTCTTCTAGCTCGGAATTAAGACTGTATTCCGCTCCACACTTTTTGGCTGTCGTGTGTGTGTTAAATGTCACGTGTATCTGTCTTCCCAACTGTGGATCGGCTCGGCTATTCGGTGAGCCGTGGTTTATTTAGCGAGACAGGTATTCTGGCTATACGCGCCTGAGTATGATATGCAGATATGAATCCCCACAGTACTGCTTGTGTGCTTGCGTGTAAGGGTGAATTCATGCGTACGCTAATGCGTGCGGTGTACAAACTCGCATTTGTTGTGATAAATCGTCCGTGGCGTTTGAAAATGGATAATAATCTTTCTCCTCTTCTTTGATCTTCCCCACAATCATCATCATCTTCAAACAACAAAAATGCCTTCCCCTCCTAAACCTTGGGAGCGTGGAGGAGAGAGTGGCGCTGCTGCTACTGCCACTGCATCTACACCGGTAACTTCTGCCCTTTCATCAAGTACACCCGCTTTACCGGATAGGCCATCCACTCTAGGAGGAGGTGCAACAACTTCAACAGCTGGCTCAGGCGGAATAACACCTTCTACAGCACTCAATTCAACCGCAGGAGCATATGGATCGCCTTATTCTACCTCAGGCTATGGAGGTCTAGGGTCTACTTATGGTGGCCTTGGATCTTCTTATGGATCGTATGGAAGTTACAACTCTCCCTACTCTAGGATGGGCGGGATGGGAAGTATGGGCAGTATGGGCGGTTACGGGAGCTATGGAGGGTATGGCGGCTACGGAGGATATGGAGGATACGGCGGTTATGGTGGCATGGGCATGGGAATGGGTGGAATGGGGATGGGGATGGGAGGTATGGGAATGGGCATGCCAGGACAACCGGGTGACGTCTCCTTGACTCAAAGGATGGAATCTGGCACACAAGCAACATTCGAGCTAATCTCTTCAATTGTTGGCGCTTTTGGTGGTTTTGCACAAATGCTAGAAAGTACATTCATGGCAACTCACTCAAGCTTTTTTGCAATGGTTGGCGTTGCTGATCAATTTGCTCATTTGAGAAATTACCTAGGTCAAGTTTTGAGCATCTTTGCATTAGCAAGATATTTGAAGAACTTGTTCTTGCGTGCTACAGGTCGTGCACCTGCCGTTGATCTGAACCCAAGGGAATTCGGAGAATTTGCCAAGCATGGAGGAGCGATCGCCGGTCCCAATGGAGCACCAGGTGCAAAAGCCCGACCAAGCAAACGACCTTTGGTTGTTTTCTTTTTGGCCGTTGTTGGTTTACCTTATTTGATGGGTAAATTGGTTCGCTTGATCACCGCTCGTCAAGAAGAAGAAAGACTAAGATTGGAACAACAAGGTCTTTTGCCGCCCGGATCGCAAAATATGACACCTCAACAGCAACAAGAACATATCAGACATCAACAAATGCTACAACAGCAACAACAAGAAGGAGGCGCAGGAGGTGTACAAACGACGGCAGCTGGAGAACCATTGGATCCTAGCAAATTGACTTTCGTACGTTCGATGTACGTTTATAATGCTTCTGATCCACTAGAGCTCAGCTTGAAATCGAACGACATCGTTGCCGTTTTGAGTAAAGTGGATCCGTCAACAGGACAAGAATCACAATGGTGGAAAGGCAGAACGCGAGATGGAAGGATTGGATGGTTCCCTAGCACATACGTTGAATCCTTGGAAACGGCAAAAGAACGAGCATCAAAATCGAACGAGTCTGTTAAACAAATTGATTCAGCTGCCCCGCAAAAAGCATTACCCAAACCTGCAGCTGCAACTGCGACTCGATAAAAAAAGACGATGTGATGCAACAACGTCAATTAGTGTATTTTCCTAACCTGTACTTTTATAGATGCTTAATATCTTTATTTGCAAATAATACTCCGGGATCTTTGTAATCTTGCTTGCGAGAGTTATCATTTGGTCTCTCTAGCTGTATGTCTAGCTAAAGATAGGCTTTACCTAGTAGCCCTATGGCAGAATGAGAACTGTCTCTAGATCCGATGCTGAAGCAACAATGTGAAGATACCCGGCTCATTCCTGCCAACGACTCCTATATGAAGGATTCACTTTGATATGATTAATGTTACAAGTATAATACAGAAAGATGTCGCCATAATTACCCACTCATATATCGTCTGGCTTGGCAACTTTGCGTTTCTCAATGATGCCTGTCTGTGGATCTTGCATTTCTTGCCAATTGATAGGTATCATTGGTTGTTGTGAATGCGATCTTGTTGACAATGCAGTATCCGAAAGAGCCGGTAAAGCATAAACGACGCCCAAATGATTTTGTGTTGTGGCTAAAAAGTACGAACGAGAATCACCAAGAGAGATAACAATCGCTTTAACAATATCACCCGGTCTAAAACAATCTTGCATCTTTATCTTATCTTTTTCCGTTTGTCGAACGTCTTGTGTTCTTATTACGCCGGTAAAATCTGCTCCTGATGGATCTTCCCCTGCGGCTTGATTTGTATAGCCGCATGAGATCCAATCTCCCGGTGCACATGGTTGACCATCAACGACCAAGATTGAAACGTTTGCCTGTCTTGCATTTACACGGGTAATACGACCTAAGATTGTCGAACCAGGCATTGGAACGACAAATCTTGGTTTAGTTCCATGATTGATTTGTGTTTGTCCTTCTTTGGTCGTAAGCTGTCCTACCAGAGATGAGAGCGAGTATTCGTTACGTTCATATGTGCCTGTGCCTGTTTTCGATGACCCTGGAACGGGCTGTCCTGGCAGAAGGATTTGTGACATTGTATGAGGAGATGATGATGATGACGTTAAGAAGTTAAAAATTCTCCGAAATTATTCTTGTCACGCGCCAATCACTTTTCTTCTTGATTGGGGCCTGTGCATACATTCATCATTCTACGCCAACTAGGCGAGCGGCGTGTGTGTTCGTGTGTTGGTGAGGGCGTCAAATATAAGAAACACACAACTTCACTTCTCAAAAAAGGGGATCCTTTGCCATCTCTTTCTCCATCATCTCGCTTGACCAACAACAACAGTCATGAACACGACGTTGAACCGCTTCAATGCGGTTTCGGCTTTGGCAACGTCTGTTTTGATGGCGTTAGCAGCTTTTACGGCAATTATGACCTATCCAACCCATAAGCCAAGTGGAAGGGTAGCCATAAAGGAATTGGAAGTGTGAGTGAAAGAGAACAGCATTGTGTAAGACAACAAATAGAGCTGACAATATCTTTTTCCTACTAAAAAGTGTCAAAGGAAGATTGGAATGGCATATGGATAATCGTGTTCAAGATTTCATGAAAGTGTCATTTGATATCGATGCTGACTTTACCAGTCTGTTTAACTGGAACACAAAGCAAGTCTTTTTAAGCTTGGTAGCCGAATACCCTACAAAAAGACATGAATTGAATCAAGTTGTGCTCTGGGATAGAATCGTACGTTCAAAACAAGACGCAAACGTTAATTTGCTTGATGCTACCAACAAATACCCATTCAGAGAGGTATCGAAGAATTTTGCGTGAGTTTTCATACAGTGATCCAAGGTGATTATACCCATCTAACATCTCTCCCGTCTGCATATACAGAAACGTAAACGGATCTACATTCACGCTCAAATGGAACACGATGCCCAAAGTTGGTATCCTTGCCTATGGAGATGAACAGCGAACAAACGAATACTCTATTCCTGCTCGCTTGCAAAGGGATGGTATTGCAGAATTGTACTTCTAGTATTGGGCGAGATGAACAAAGATTATATGTCATAATGTTGTTCGTTTGCTTAGTAGTGTTACATGTGATAGTATACAGGGTATGAATAAATGCTCTTTGTTCAAGAGGATGAGTGGTTCTCGTTTGGGTACGCTATTGCAGCCTTTGCAGACACATTTGCCCTTCCAGCCTGATGCTCATCTGATAAATGTCTCAGCATGACGTCCATCTCATTACGGAGTGATTCTGTGAGGGTTAAGAGTAAGTCAGTATGAAAGTTACCCTCACTATCTATCGAGTTCAAATTCTTACCTGCATCGCGTAAGGCATCTCTGTATTCTTGATTAGCAACGCTCATTTCCTCATCAATCTGTTCAAGCTCTCGTTTGACTTGATCTTCATTCGTTTGTTTAGGTAACCGCTGTAGTAATGATTCCATCTCTTTTGCTTTTAATACTAAATCATCCGTTAATTCATCTATATTTTCCGACATTGTTTCTGCATCGATTAAGTGATTTGCCGCATGAGATTGTGCCAGATTTGTTGGTTGAAATAATGGAATGACGTTATTAATTTGAACATGTGCACTTCTATGCGTTAAAAAGTGTAATGAGGATGTCATAATTTGAAGCATCAAGGCTAGATCGGATTCCAATTGTGAGATCAGATCTATCGATGGTCCTGACTGCTGTGTGCTATTGCTGTTCTCCCCCTGCTTTTGTTCTATACCGTTCTCATCCCCGTTCCCCATCGGTTCGGCGGTCATCGTTTGTGCAAGCTTTGATGGTCCAGCAGATAAAGTGCTTGCTGCATTTTGAGAAGATGTCATAATTTGAGGTGAAAGTGTGGAGAGAAAGTTGTCATAACGCGTGAGTGATTGGTGCAACCCCATCCCAAGCCGCCGTCTTGACGCCATCAAAGCATCACCGCATGAAAAGAAATGCTATTTGCATATCCAAATCGAGAAAGGATAAAAGGCATATTTGTAGCTACAGAAAATTGTACTTCTCATCACTCCGCACTCAGAGCCTTTGAAAATGCAACTGTTCACCAATCTCACTATATTCTTCATTGTATTTGTCTCTCTGGCAAATGCTTCCAAGAATGGTGAAGGATCTTCCACTTCTTTCAAAGATGTCCAAGATGCTCATAAACGTGTTCGCGATGCAACTTTGGCTGAAGATGCCCATCATAGACGTACGACTCAACAACCTCCTGCGAGTCCCTTCTCCCAATATGCCTTTGAAGAAGCCCGTAAAACATTAGAAAATCAACTCAAAAAAGCTCAAGATGATTCTCAGAAAACTACGGATAAATTCTTCGGAAAACATTGAACACTTAAGTGTCAAATCTATAAAATGATGTCAATCGAGAAAGGTTTGTACATGAGTGGTGGTATCCTATGTACAAAGATTTGAGTATAAGAATGAAAAATTATTCTACATGCTTGTTATCTGACGGTAAAGCTGGCATCGGTTTACGTTCTGCTCCCTTTGGACGTGGACTCAAAACACCGGTTATTGGACCTGGATCCGTACTGGAAATCGGACTTCCAGTTTCGGCGAAAGTTGGACCACCATCTGCAATTGCGGCATTGTGTGGACTGCTGCCATACTCGGGTGGAGCATCTGTGGCTGTTGAATACTGCTCGTCATGTACAGATCTTGGAGGCGCAGAAGGTGAATGAACTTCTGGTCGGAGTCCACTTTGCGATGGTCGGCGATCTGGTAGAACGGTAGGTTCCAAGTTTAGATTGGGCGGTAAGGATCCACCTTCAGGCAAAGGTGACAATGGAGCAGCAGCACCGACGAACGATTGTCTTGAATAAACCGATTGTGAAACTGTATCATCGGTAGATTGTTGTAAAGTTGATGATCCGGCCGGATGACTGTCAGTAGTTGTTGTTGTTGTTTCATCTTCATGTAACATGTCAGCCAATTCGGTCTTGTTACTTTCTGCAAAACTGACAGTATCACGACGTGAAAGTGTACTTGCATCCTTTGTAATAGGCACATAAGGTAGAGTATAATCTGGCTTATGATCTTTCACTGCCGGTCCAACAGCCGCTCGAATAGCAGCCACTTGCGTTTCATTCTTCCACACAGCCTCTTCTGGTAAACGTGAATGATGGCGTGGAGTTGGGAATGGCGGTGCATAGACAGGCAATTGCTCCAATAACAATTTTCCGTATCGCGAAACCACTGCCATCTTTTCGCCTAATTCGATGATACTATCGAAATGTGCATCGTAACTTGAACGTACAGCCTCACGTTTGAGTCTGCCCAATTCCTCTTCTTTTTCTTTATCTTCAAGTTCCAATGTCTTTAGCTGCTCCTCCAAAGGCGCAATCTTTTCCGAATTTGGTATAGCACGTTCAGGTATCAATGAATAGAGTTCTTTGTGAATCTTGATACGTTGTTGTCTGCGTGGTGCCAGTTCCATTTCCAGCTTCTGAATACGCTTGAGATCAGCCCTTGAATCTTCAACACGTTGAGCATGTTCGTTGTGTAATTCACCGATCATAGATAGCATATATGCTAAACGATCAGTCACATCTGCTAATGCTGCATCTCCTGCACTATCTTCACGTTTTTCGGCCAATTGATCTTGACCCCATTTGTATGTTGCAGTTGCCATTCCTTTTGTTTGACGTCCTACAGCTTCATGTTCAATCCTTGTACTCTTTAAATGACCGGATAATTGATGAAAAGATCGATTTTGTTCAAATCTCGGATCGATTGATGCAATTCCGTGTCTCAATAAATGCGGCATAAACGAACTATTTGAGATCGAGATTGGTTTTGGATTTCGAAATGCATGACAATGAAAAATTGCATGTAAATTTGCCAGAAAGCCGTCCGTTGTAGAGAGAGCCATTGTTGATTGTTTCATTTAATCGTTTGATCAAGATGATAAAGTGGATAAAAAAGGATGAGAGATGAGGATAGAATTGATTTTATATATGTCAGTCATTGCCACCAAAATCTAACATTTCGTCTCGGGGTTATAGATCTCATTACGCCATCTCAACCCCACGTGGCGTACGTTCTCGTCATTGCTAACACACTCACCCTCTTTGAAGGCCCGATCTACCACTGCCATCATTTGCACTGCCGCCTGCGCTGCTACCTGCATTATTGCCAACGGTTTGATGAAATTGAGTTGCTGCTTCTTGTGCTCTATCACGAGCTTTTTGAAAGAAAGAAGACATGATGATGAGATGGTGGTGGTGGAGAATGAGAGATACAATCAATCATTGTAACAATCAAGCTGTCATCTTTGAAGCTGTGCTCATGCATACAACACAACACAGCCTAAATTGAGCTTTAATTAATTTCTCGGAGAAGAACTTTAGCGCATTCCAACAAACAGTGGCTGAGTGCCATTGCCCCCTCCACAACTTCATGGCGGTAATAACGGCGGCGGCGAATGACTTCTGGGGCATGATCAATGCATAGAACAACACGATGAATAATCAAACATAAAGAAGCTTGTCTGTCTTTCTTCTCTCCCCGACATACCATCACGATCACATTAATCCAATCATACTCTTTCAACAATGTCAAACGCCGCATTTACTGCCAAGAATCTTGCCATCATCACTGGTGGGGCAAGTGGAATTGGTTTGGCAGCAGGAAAAGCATTCGCATCGAAATTTGGAATGCACGTTGCCATTGGAGATAATTCAGGAGCAGTTGAAGAATCCGTTAAAGCAATTCAATCTCAAGCAAAAGAAGGAGTGAAAGTTTGGGGTGGTAAAGTTGACGTTTCAGATCGACAAAGTGTTGAATCGTTTAAAAATCAAATTCAAACGTGAGTAAATGCAGAAGATAGCAATGATCACGGCACTTCATACTTACTGTCTCTCTTTACAGCAATTTTGAAGATGCAAAACCCACCGTCTTGATGGCAAATGCAGGTATCTCAGGATCAACAAAAGCAAGTGAATGGGATGGTTGGGAGAAAGTGTTAGCGACAAATATGTATGGAGTAATCAACGTAAATCAGGTATTTCTGCCTTTGATCAAATCACACAAACAAGCATCTTTGATCATCAATACAGGTAGTAAACAAGGTATCACAACTCCTCCAATGACAGGACCAGCCTATAATGCAAGTAAAGCAGTCGTAAAAGTTTTCACAGAACAACTTGCATGGGAATTGCGTAATTCAGAAGATACGAAACAGATCCAAGCTGCTTTACTCATTCCAGGATACGTTTGGTCAGGTTTGACGGGTGCAGGATCGGGTAAATCTAAGCCTCAAGGCGCCTGGACGGCAGAACAAACTGTTGATTTCATGTTGGAACGATTGGAAAAGCCTGGAGTGTTTTACATCTTATGTCCCGATAATGAAACGCCAAGAGAAACTGATCTGAAAAGAATGGAGGTGAGTGGGCCGTAGGACACCTGTTACAGTGTTGAGCGAAATTGCTAATCTTCCTGTTTCTCTCATACAGTGGAATATCGGTGATATCATCGAAGATCGTCCAGCACTTTCACGTTGGCACGATGATTATTCTGCTAAATTCAGTAAGTATTCCATCGCCACTCTAAAGTTGAAGGGTCATTCTCACTGATTACAATTCCTACTTTTCCTTTCTTGCAGGCGAATTCTCAAAGAAATAATCATCACACCTCGGCCGCGAATCTACTGAATGATGTACAAAATTGACAAAATGCGATACACAGAAAGTTCAGATTCTCATCCGAACACGTTTTGACGACTGAGTTCATCCGGTTTAGCATCTTGCACCAACTTTTGACGTTTGGCTTCAGACTTGAATTGTGCGGTTGTACGATCTTTGTATTCCTCTCCCTTTTTGCGTCTGGTAAGGTGACGGGTCATGTTGGGTGAAATATATTCTGGGTTTTCGTACACTGTTGCACCTCCAAAGCTACCTTCAAAGATACGAATTGGAGTTAAAACCATTCTTGGACCGATTTCGACTAAAGTTGGTTTTTGATCTTCGGCTGAAGTGCCTTTTTTAGAAGAAGCTTTTTCGGCAGCTGCTGAACCTTTTTCGATTATCTGATAATGTCTAAACCAAACTTTATTATCCAAAATGCTAAAATTGATCACATGATCGATAAAAGGTTTACTCTTTCTTGCCATCCTTGGTACGCCAAACATTTGTGTGAATAATTCTTTTATCAAACCGAAATGGGGACGTTGATCAAAACTTGCGTCGAAACTTAAAAGTGGTCTACTTCCTTTCAGACAGTTTCCTTGCATTTTAAGTTCATCCATCGTATGAATGTTTTGAACATGGAATTTTACCGAGGGTCCGTTTGGGGTTTTGCTTGCCCATAGATATAAATCTTCATGTTTTCTTGCTTCGAAGTAGAGGGTATTATTGCAATTATTCAATTCTGCCAATTCGTTCAAGATGTGTAAATTTGATTTGGAGTCCAGCTTTGAATCTTTTTTGCTATGCGGTAATAAAGCTTCAAGATCGTTCACCAAATGACGCATTCTCATCGTAACACCACGAGAAGGTAGAATAAGAACACGTTGTTTATTGCGTGGAGTGGGTGCGGTTGCACTTCCATTTTGTTCAACTTCATCTGTTGCTTTACGTTTACCCTTTGAGGCTGCACTGTATAGAGATGCCATCTTTGTTGAAGTGGTGATGGTGACTTCAAAGGAAGAGATACTGACCCTACGCGCAGGAGAAGATTCCCAAAGAGCATAAACCAAAATTCTTGCCTTTGAAAAAATTCCAAAGTGGGGGATGTCACGTGTGTTTCCTCCTCCACGCTTAGAAGATTATGCAAGCGTCTGACCAACACTTCTTCTTCTTCTGATCATCGATGGTAGCATATATGACAATATGATTATACGGTATACCAGTAGAGGTATAGCACAACGCAATGCAAAATCAATTCCCTCACAATTAGGAAACCAGATCCGATTTGCTTCTACAACAGAAGTTCCCAAAACAACAGGACCAACAGATCCGGCAACGAGTGTAAGAACGTTGGTAGAACAAGTTGATCGATCATCAATATTGGCTTCAAAATTCTATCCAAGCCATCTACAAAAGCACTTTTTGGCTATACGTGCATTCAATGCTGAGGTTGCACGGGTTCCGGAACTTGTTGATAATGAATTAATGGCACGTATTCGTGTTACTTGGTGGCGTGATGCAGTACAAGGAGCATTCAATGGAAAGACTCCCAGACATCCAACTATGATCGCTTTGAGCGAAGCTATACATGATCCGAATGTGCAAAAGTATGGCGGACTAGTGGAAGATCACTTCGTGGCAATGTGTGAAGCAAGAGAATCTGATCTTTCCGCTCCTACAACTCCACCAACGTTGGAAGAAATTGAATCTTATGCAGAAAAAACTTCTTCACGTTTATTCTATCTTTCCTTGAACCTATTAGGTGTTTCAAAAACTGTTATCGATCAGGTTTTCAGTCATTTAGGTAAAGCAAGAGGATTAACACAATTACTCAATTCTGTTCCTTTTCATGCCGGTGTAATTCGTACAACAATTCCAACACCTCCTGATGCACAAACGCAGGAAGGAGTCAAGCCAAAACCAAGGTCAGGACCTGCAAAGCCACGACAAAGAAGAATCGTTCTACCAAGAGAATATTTATCCAAACATAATGTCGTAGAAGAAGAGGTGTATCGTAAAGGCGCAGAGGCAAAAGGGTTAAGGGATGCAGTATTTGATACAGCAACAAGGGCAAACGATTACATCATTTCTGCGAGATCATTGCTGAAAGATGAGTTTAATGGAGGAAAAGTACCACAAGCATTGATAGGACCTTTGGTAGAAGCAACAACGGCAACTACAATGCTACAAGAATTGCAAAAGAGAGATTTTGACATTTTTGATACGAAATTGATGACTGTGGCAAGTGGAAAAGGATGGAGATTGCCATGGAATATGTGGAAAGTAGGAATTAGTGGAAAATTATAGAGATGTATTGTAGATGTACTTTTTGTTCAATGATGGAGTTGTTGTTCAATTTGCCTCCACGCGTGAAATGTTCGGAAATGCAGCATTTAGGGTCTTTTAAGAATTTTAGCTCAGCCTTCCAAAAATTGACAGGGATGGTTATCTCTCACCACCACCACCATCTAGTGACAAATCACATCATCTAAGATGACCACTCCATGGATTGCAAGACCACGATGGACATGTTCATATTGCAATATAACCATAAACGATGATGTGCCTTCACGTACCCAACATGAGAATGGATTACGACATAAAGGAAACGTTGAACGTAGTTTACGTGAAGCATATAAAAAGAGTGAACGTGAAAGGATACAAGAAAGAGAAGCAAAAAAGTCTATGCAAGAGATTGAAAGATTGGCAAATATACGTCATCAACAAGATATAGGGGGTACAGAAGCTGGACCTTCCAATCAAGCGACCAGTGAAGAGAAGACAAAAGAGCCAAAGCAACCTGCGAAATGGAAACCGAGCGATAAATTAGCAACGTATGGATCAGCGATGCCTGTATATGCAGACGAACAGAGCAGATTGGATGAAATGCATAGACAACAGCTTGCACTGGAAGAATCAGAGCGAAAGAAAGAAGGTACCGCTGGAGCATGGCAAACGGTAGAACAAACACCCGCTCTACCAGAATCAAAGATACAGACCAGCGATAGCCTACCTCAAACCAATGCACAATCCTCTTCTTCCTCGTATAAGGTACGTGAAAAGAAGGGAAATTATCACGATGACAACGAAGAAGATACAATCGACTCCATCAAAGTGAAAAAACGGATACGAACGGGTGATGAAGAAGAACGCAAGAGGAGGATAGAAGAGGAACAAAGGACGATGTTACCGCAATGGACACCAGTTCGATTGGATACAGGGATTAGTGCAAAGAAGGAAGGTATTCAAGGGGTACCCATTAACCGGATAAATGATGAATCAAATGCTGCGCCAATAGATTTGAGTAAAGATGAATCAGAAGATCAAAAAGATCAGGTCAAAACGGAAGAGGCCGAGCAACCTTCTTCGTCTTCCAACATGTTCAAGAAACGCAAAGCAGGTTCCGGTTCGGGAGCTAAAAAGGTACGAGCTGTTGTATAAAAACATTCTTAAATGTATAATAGATTAATACTGTACAATATATATGTGCTGTAAAAATGATTGCCTAAACGTAATTGAGATACGATCCTCTATGAATAGTGCTGAAGAGAATAGAGCAACACTTTGCCTCGTGTATTACCCATAGCCATCAATTCTGAACCACTGGAGAAATCGATAGAAGAGATATGGCCAAGAGGTGTTCCGGATGTTGGCCAATTCTCAAAGATTGTCATTGAAGGAAGATGAACCATCTTCAGAACATCCCTCTTTTTTGAACTTGCAATGGCCAAGATCTCACCTGTAGGATTATAACGAAGAGTTGTTGTAGCTGTGACGATGTTGCTGATCGATTTGCGTGATTCCAAGGTGGATACTACTTGTCCATTCTTGCTGGCCGTATTGCTGCCATTCTCAACCGCTTCACGACCGTACATATTCACGATTCCATCTTCACTCCCAATTGCCCACCACTGTCCTGAAGGACTTGCTTCGATGCTCCTGGGTGCAAACAGACCGACATCATGTCTTTGAACTTCACAAGTCATCTTTCTAGTATCCCAAACATGCACGACTCCTTGATTGCTTAGAGATGCCAATCGGTTCTCATTTGCCGGATCCCAACTCAAACCTTTCAAAGGTGCATTCATTTGCATTCTCCCGATCAAATTACCACCACCAGATCCTCCTGCTTGGTTGTAATCCAACAAATAAATTGCACCACGCCTTCCTCCGATTGCCAATTGTTTCCCGCCATCCTGTGCGGGAGCAAAACGTGCCAATGAAAGATCTCGTTCTTGTGAATCATCTTCACCGGAGGATGCATAAGCACGCCAAGGTGTTGATCGTGTCGTCTTTCCAGAATAGATGTCACGGACGTAAAAGAATGGCCTTGGACCACTCAGCATGATCGAAGAGCCGGAAGGATGAAATTGTGCCGTACGTAAAGGCATATCGGGAAAGTGAACTGATTCCAAAAGTGGATTGTCCCTTGTGTCAACATGATATAATCGTAATTTGCGATCTTTCGAAGTGGTAAGCATGACGTGAGCCCGTGCTGCTGGATGAAAAGCGACTTGTTCGATTGCAGATGGCTTTGCTCGTGCTTCTGCTTCATTTGCATTCCGTAGTCTTTGGATTTCTATCCGCTGTTTCGGCAATGCTGTTCCTTTCTGTCGTTGATCTCCTCTCGAACGGCTTACGAGTCCCGCATCCGTATTCAGCAAATCTCCAAGAGATTGCATTCCAGTCGTACTTCCATCTGTATTGCGTAGCTCTAGCGAAGCCCATCTTGGCCGTGGATGTAGCTTTTCAAATGTTCTTCTTAACCGAAGTTCATATTCTGTACCGGTGATATTTACCTCATCCGCATTTTCACGTAAGTTGCGTAATTTGTTCATCCCTTTACGACTTCCATCTTTTGCTTTAGCATCAGCACCTGCTAGTGTTACGCTGAGACTTGCAGTGCTAGGATCAGTCCAAACTGGTTTCCTCCTCTTGAATGATGATAGTGGTTTATCCGGGTTATGTGACTTGTCATCTTCAGGTTCATTATCACTTTCGCTACTGTTATTGTCATCATCATCTTCGTCACTACCATCGCTTGCTGACGAGCTTGACGCCGATGATTGAGACTCATTCTGCTCTACAGCATCTGGTGCAGTATCCAGTACGAACAAATCGTCATCTTCTATTGACTTTGAACGATTCTTCCTTTTTCCATTTGCCGGCATTGTGATTATAAGATAATGCTCTGCGAGGAACAGAAGGAAGGATTAACATGATAACATTATTTGAAGTGGCATGTTCACTTTATGCAGAAGATTCCAAAATTATTAGATCACGTGCGTTTTAAACGGAAGAATCTCTCAACCTTTCGTTGGCGCGCTTTATGGGAAACAAGCCAATCGACACAAGCACACCACTAAAGGGCACACGCATAATGCGCCATATCTACACGGCTCTCAATTGGTTCCTTTCTGATCGTAGTGCTTTTTTGTTCATCGCACCATCGTCATCAGTCTTGAAAAAGCTTTTATAGAAAGATGTTGGCAATCACAAGAGCAAGAATGCCTCTAAGGACGGCAGGAATAGCATCTCTTGCACGATCCTCTACATCGACAAATATCCAACGTTCATTTCATTCATCTCGTATTGCAAAGGACGGACATGCAAGTGCACATTCATCCGAAGAACATGAAGAATATCCAACAGAAGGTAAGTAATTCTATCAAAATTATGAGATCGTAATACTAAACAAAAACAAATCAACCCTCTACCACTTTTTATACAGGCTTCGGCGCTCCAATTTGGCGTTGGACGTTCATCTCTGTGATTGCAGTAGCAGGCATTTATCGTTTCACAAGTACACATAGCACTCACGCAAGCGCACCCGCATCAGATGAAGATGTCGATGATGAAGAAGAAGCAAAGAAGCCATTCTTAACACGTTATATCACTTATCATCTCACTTTACCTTCAATCTGGAAAGAACGTCAAGATGCGCATTTGGACGCAGTTCGTCAAAGAGCTGAAGACAAACTCTTCTTTCAAGAAGCAGAACGTCCACCCGTACGTAGAATGCGTTTTCCTGGAACATTTGAGGCTGCTTCGCCTGACCGTCTGCCCCTTGGGGAAGCAGTAGACGTAAGTGATGTTAAGGTGAAACGTGATTCATAAACGATGTACATTGACACAAATGAAGTATGTGAAGCATGGAATGTGTTAAGATAAAGTGTCAATATGCTGTACATGAGTGGGGAAACCAATTATTCTGCAGACGATTTCGATTTAAGGTGGGATTTAATCCCATGTTGTAACATCGCACGTAACGCATCCTGCCCTTCTGGACTTGCTGCAGTGTTATTTGACTTTTGAGCCTCTCTGCGTTGATTATATGAATTTTTAGTCTCTCTTCTCGAAAACGCCTTTTTCGAGAGGCCCTTTGACGTATTATAAGATGACAGTGAACGACCTCTGTGTCCGATTTTGGCAGAGTCTCTCGAGTATGCAGCGTATTGATCTGTTTGAGTAAGATCTGCCATAAAGAAAACATCTTTTTCTGATTCACCCGCTCGATAATTAAGCGTTCCGTTTATTTCTCCAATCCACTGTGGTGATCCTGGCTGTCCTCTTGACACAGTTCTTTCTTTTAAACGTTGTACTCTCATGGTAAATTGTCCAAACTGTTTGGGTAAGGTGGATTGACGTAAAGCGTCTTGATAACTTTCCGATTCTACCGCTTCAACTGCTTTTTGTGCAACCATTGATGCTGCACTTGCACTGCGATTCGTTCTTGCACCTTTTGCTGACCAAATCGGTAACGAATCCGGTGCATAACTGATTGGTTGACCAAACGTTAGTTCAGTTGTACCGTGTGGTTTGACCATGATTACGCCTTGTTGAGTGTCCTTTTGTGAAAAATCAAGAACTCTAGGTGTAGGAACATCCGAATTGTGCGGCGGCTTGGACATCTTTGCAACTTGTCCACCAACAGCAACGCTGTATGAACCATGATCCTTATTTCTATTTCTATCTACTCCAGTCCTCTTTCCAGCATCCTCTCTGCTCAAGACCCTTCCTGGAACTCCATCAGCCAAGAGTTTTGTTTGAATCAGATCTGGAAGCCCGTATTGCAGTCCCGCTGATGGATGCATGGGCTTATTGCGAGCCTTGGACGATATTGGTGCAGGATTGCTTGGCAAAGTGGTGTCCACTGCTTGCGATGCACGAAGACCGTCCCTATCTCGGAGCCAAGATTGCCAAAGAGAGGCCAAACCTAAATTCGCAAAGCGCGATTCGTTCCAAAGATCAATCCCTACATTTGCATCGTCATCTTTAGAAGTATACTCGCCCGTTATTTCAGGCAAGGGAATCTTTGCTCTTGTGAGAGGTTCGGGCTCGGTAATAGTTGCTGTGCTAGAATTGGATTCTGCCATTACTGTATTTGAATTTTGTATCTTTCGTCGTTCGTTCTCATAACGTGCAAGAAGATCTTGTCTTTCCTTTTCTGCTGCTCTTAGAGATGAGTGCTTGCGATAAACAGGCCTTTGAGTTCTAATATAATCAAGGTACTTGTCAAATCGCTTTTCGTCCATGGCACGGAAAGCGATGGGGACAGGAACTTTGACGGAATAATGACCTGCTCGATTGCCGAAAGGACCGTCTAAGTCCAATCCAGCCGACACTGAGTTTCCAGCGTGAATGTTTTTAGGGTAAACGGGACCTCTTCCTTGAAGTGCTTCTGATTGCAAATGAGTTCGCATATTTGGATCAGACACTGGATCATATGCACTTGGAACACTTCTACGTGTGCTAGGGTCAAACGTTGTACTTATTCTTGGACCAAGAAAGCCTGGTCTAGATTCCGCAGATGTAATACGTGCATTCAATTCAGCAAAACGCTTTTTGAGTAAAACTTGATGTTCACATTCGGTCCAAATCGTTTGACCTTCTCGTGTATCCAAAGCTTCGATATCAACATAACGCAAAGATCCGATTGGTTTATTTCGCGATGGTAAACTTCTCTTTAGTCCGAAATCACCTCTAGATAGATGTGCTGCAGGAGCTGTATACGATTGAGGTATAACGGGCGAATGACTTGCTAATCGAGAAGAAGCCAATAAACGTGAAAATTGCGAACCGCTTGCCGTAACAGAGGGTGATGACCTTATCATTGTTGCTGATCCCACCATCTCGATCGAGCGAGCAGTGACAATGTGATCACGTAGCACTCTCCGTCTTTTCTATTGGTATCTTTGTCGATGATCGATAAAGTTGATGATTGAATATGCTTAAGTTATTGTCTTATTCAATCAAGAAGAAATCCTAAAGAGTCGCGCGCTAAAAAAGAAAGTGATGCATGAATGCCTACCACTCACGTGCTGGCTAAATTTTGGCTACAGTTGCATTTTATTCATTATAAGAATGATCCTCATTCTTATCTTGATGACCTTCCCATAACAAAGAGAAAGCAGATTAGGCTACATGCCTCAGCTTTCTTCTTCCTCCTCAATCACTCAATCGTACAATCATGGCAAGTGCAGGCGGAGGTAGAGGAAGGGGCGGATTTGGCGGAGGGAGAGGTGGAAGGGGTGGAAGAGGTGGTGGTGGAAGTAGTGGTGGTGTACACGCATTGCCCATGGGAGCATTAACTTGGAACGATTTCGCAGAAGCAGATAAAGCAAAACCAAACAGGCATGCATATCCTCCAATGGAAGAACAACCGATCCTACGTAAACCAAACGAAAGAGAAACGAGAATAATTGCAAGGCAATTAGCATTCGTTGAAGCACAAAGGCAAACACCTTGGTGGATTAGACCATTAGATCAAAATACTCAATTTAAACAACAATCTACTGCTGCAAATGCCGCTGCCAATTCTGTGGTTGGAGGGAATGCAGGGGTTCCAGCAGCTTCGGCAGGTGCAGCAAGTGGTGTGAAACGATCCAGTGCTTACTTACCACGTTATTCGGATAAATTCAGAAAGACGAACGGAATCAATAATGGAGAAGAAGCCGAAAAGGTACTTCCTTCGTCAACCGACCTAGACAGCCTGACGTTACAAGATGAAACATTGCTGAATATGCTACAAAAACAAGCATTTCCCAATGGGCTATGGCGTACATACGTAGAAGGAGAGAACAAAAGATACGAAAAACGGCAAGAAGCGGTTGCCAATGCAAAGAAAAGAAGAAGTGATTGGCGAAAGATTGTTACTGGCGTAGAACTTGCCGGCACTGATGACATTTCTGATGGAGCACATTCAGACGATGAGGTTGGAGAAGATGCTTATCAAGATGAATATGAAGATGATGTCGAAGATGATTATGCGGACAATTACTTTGACAACGGTGAAGATGATGATCAGCTGGATGAGGGTGGGGCAGGGGAAGCAGATGATGCATACGACTGAACGATTTTCATGTAAATAATTGTACTATATTTCAAGCTTACACGTTTCTAAAGCGCTCTTATCTCTGTGTGATAAAGGGAAGGATATATTTTTGTTATAAGTACAGTGATGTTGCTATGAAGCTTCTGAAAGGCTATTTTCCTCCCAAGTTTCTGCCATGGGCTGCTGGACGGCACCCTTTAGCTTCTCCGTAATCTCTTTCCTTCTGTCAATAGTCTGCTTTGCTTCGAATCGCTGGTCGTGTCGATTTTCGTCTGACGATGATGATTGAATGTTCGACTGTGGCTGAAAGGCGACTTGGGTCGAATCACCAGTATCATCTAACTCTTTCACGATATCTTCATTCTTCCACATTGCTTCCAATTTCGTTTTGTTCTTCGTCATCGCTTCAGTAGAAGGGAGAAGTTGTGATGAATCAACATTAAAGAATGCAGATTGTGCATGTTCACGTATGGATTTCAGTCTTGATAAATCGATTTCTTTTCTCTGCTTTACGATTTCTTTTGTATCTCTGTGTCCTTTATTGCTCCCAGATGTGCCTGCTATCAGTGCTTCTGAACCGCTTTGTTTGGAATCTGTACCTGGTTTCGAGATTTGATCTTGCCTTAACAAAGGAGTCCTTTCATCATTCTGACTTCCCGACTGATTGAAGGCAGAAGTGGATGATTCACCTTGCCTTCTGCCTAGACAACAACCAAAGATAGATTGAAGCATGGATTGAATGTTGATGGTCATGCTGAAGGTAGATTGCATGTATGCCCACGCTAGCGCGCAGACCGCCGGGCGCCCGCTTTAAGTCAAAAGTCAAAAGAAAAAAAGATGATTAGAGTCGCGATTGATGAAATGGAAATTTGTTTAATGACCATATTCAGCAAGATCTCAAAAGCAATGATGGCGACCATATTGAAAGTTAATTGACGATCGAGAAGCTTTGAATAGTACATCATGATCGTCAATGGCTAAGACTATCCAAGATGAATACAGCAGCATACATTCCGGTCGGGACGCCGGGCCCTTCGATGATGCAAGTGCCACCTTCTCCTTCCGTTGGACCTTCGATCGCAGCTGAGCATCAAAATCCTCGTTTGATACCAATTCATGTTCGATTGGTGCCAAAGGATATGTGGATTCGGATGCATGTAGACACACGATCAACAATTGGCTCGGTAAAGGATGCTTTACTGGAAAAATTACAAATTCCTTCTTATGATCCAAGTTTAAATCATTTCTTTTATGAAGATGCAAGAGCGGCTATGTCAAGACAAAACGCAACGCAAGCAGATGTTAAATCGTTCCCAAAAGCATTTGTTGCACGAATGCCAAAAAGGAACGCAAAAGAGATTAGACGTGCAGAAAGGGAAGCTGAAGCGGCAGCTTCTTCTAATCCAAGTTCAATCCACACTCCCTCTTCGAAGCTTTCGAAATCTCTCAACATTCGAAAGATTCCCACAATCAAGCAAGTTTCCACCTCAGCGCAAGCTCGTGCTATTTTGGGAGGAGATGCAGGGGTTGGAGGAAGAGGAAGTATGGGATTCATTGGGAATAATGTAGAAGCAAAAGACGGGAAAGAATCAAAAAGGGGGACAAAGAACAAGCTGTATCATACACAAAGACCAAAGGTGATTGGACCTACGACTAGGGCTCGTGTCATCTCTACCCAAACCGCATTCAGTTCGTCTTCTGATCTCGCTCACCCACTGAGCAATTCCATCAATGCTTCAAGCAGCACACCAATCAAAACAACGGTTCGAATTCGGACTGAACAACAAAATGGCGCGGATGATACTGCTTTTGATCTAACTCGTGCAGCAGGTTTGGACGCATATGCCGATTATTATGGCTTTGGACTAAGTGGCAATGAAGAGGCGAAGAGGCTAGAAGAAGCAGCAATGATAAAGTTGAGAGCGATGGATACAACTTTGGCAGAAGGCAGCTTAGGTGATTCACATGCCTTTTCTTCTAGTCCTGCCAAATCATCGCCGTCGTATGCCGACCGAACTCGGTACGATGATGATGACGATAATGATGAACCTCTTGATGGTCAACAAGCATTTGATGAATTGGTGCAGTATTCTGGATCGGCTACGCACTCAACTTCAACTCCAATCACAGAGGAAAGCACATCGCAGCTTGAGCAAAACACCAATTCTCTCGTGCGCAGATTGGCGGGCATCAATACAGATGAAATCTCATCATGGAAGGACGCAAGACATCCTCAAGCAAAATATTACGCTGTGCATTCCTACTCCAACGGGTACATAATGGAGGATTGGCGAACTCTTGCTGCTTTGCGTATTCGTCCTTTCGAATTGTTAGAGATTCAATATTCTGATCCACATGAAAAGGTTCACCTACCACGTCTCGGGGAAGCGAATGACGCAAGTTCAGGTAAACTTGATAATCGCTCACAAGCTAAAGAGAGAGAAGAGAACAATACTCCCACGCAATCACCCATGATTGGTGAGTATGACCGACAATCAAATGTACCATATCCGGCATTGGACAATCGTTATTTGGAGCCTTTTGCAGAGGCGTGGTGTTATATATTCAAACGAGGCGGTGGAACATCAAAAGCACAAAAAGCTGGTCTTGGCTTATGGAAATTACGCTGGATAAGCCTGCGTGGAAGAAATCTAACAGTTTATAGGACCAAATACCTTCGTCAAGGATACGATGAGGCGATGAATATTTGGAATTTGAATTCTGTCGAAAGTGTGATCAGTGAACGAGCTGATGGAGCAACACGACCTGTTCTTATGCCAATCAACGGTCAATGTCAAGATATCTTGACTTTAACATTTGCTAGAGCAACTGTTATTCCTAATTCGATCCACGATGAATCTTCCGATTTCCAACAAGCCACACTTTCGATGCGCTTCATCACGCAAGTGGATCACTGTGCTTTCTTTCGTTGTTTTGCAAGGGCACACTTTCACGCCTCACTCCAGCATCAAGACCCTTTTCGAGCGGCAATGGTGTTTGAATGGCGTAGAAAAGCCATGGCACGTTCTGTGATTGCAGGTTTGGGAGGAACAGTTGTACCGGGTAAAGCAGGTCGAAGGGGAGGCCGCAATGCTTTATCGAGAAAGCGATTGAGACCATCAGGAATGAGTCGAGATTTTGATGATGCCGACAGATGGAGTAGCGATAGCGATGGGGAGGATATTCCCGCTACGCAAACAGCTTCTCAACAGAATATCGTTGGCGGTGTGAAGCTTGATGCTGATATAACAAGTGAAACGTTTGGTTCTCGTGGATCACCTGCGTCTACTGAACATAATGCACAATTTGTGCCAGAAGGTGAAGAACAGAGTCCAGCAGCACAAGCCATTCATTCGTTCTTGGCACAACGGAGTGCTTCCAATGCTCGGATCACCGTTGATGACGATTTTATGTCGTAATCATCCCACATGTATCCATTAAAGAATCGTTTTTCCGTGTTCATATGTTCTTATAATACTCTATACACTGTATGAATCGCTAATATTGTACACGCATCCCGGAAGAGATTATCCTTAGTAAAATTACACATCTTATACGATTGTTTGATGCTGCTCTTCTTCCAATTCGTCTTGATGAGTCTGAATCAATGACCAAACGCTTGCTTTGAACAGTGTCAATACCAATCCCATCTTGCGTTCCAATATTCTCAAATCTCGCAAAAGGTGTTCGTGCTTTTCGCTCGAAGAGAGAGAGTTGGACAAATCGACGATCTATGCATAAATGTGTGTGTGTCAGTACACGATTTTCTTTTTCATCTCGATCATTGCAACTCACCCTTCTTATCGTTCCTGCCAATCGTGCATATTCTCCCAAAACCTCTTGTTCCTTCTCTGATAAGAGTCTATGACCCGAGTATGGATTCTCGTTCATATCGAAGATTTGTTCATTTGGGATGACGGGATTGTAGGATGATGGTAACGCGTGAAAGGGTATTGAAAGAACAACACAAGCACATTTACGCGACGCCATCAACGACGCCGAGGTGAGAGTGGTACGGGAAGTACACCAAAGATGCATGCATATTCTGCAGAAATGAAAAAGCTTTCATTTTAAACTTCTCGCGCTAATGGTGTGACTTCTTCTTCTCGATGATCCCGTCAATAAATTCCTTCGCAAAAATGTCTTCTGCATTGACAACAACTTCTCTACCACTTCCCTTGATCGCCAAAGGAAAGGTGCGAGATGTGTATGATGCAGGACAAGGTACTCTCTTGTTCGTAGCAACTGATCGCATTTCAGCTTTTGACATTGTTTTGGAAAATGTGAGTGCATTTCTTAGAACGATGTATGCTCCATCTCAAACAGTCATTCTCTAATATTCAATCATTCTTTCATTTATTCTAGGGTATTCCAGGTAAAGGCAAACTTCTACACGCTCTTTCTACATTCTGGTTCAAACTCTTAACTCCTCATTTGATCGGATCACATGTTTTGGCCGATTCGTTCGATGATTTCCCAGCTGAATTAAAGGAAAAGCTTGCCGGTGTGAAGGATCAAGTAGAGAATCGATCGATGTTAGTCAAACGTGCAGATGTTGTGCCTGTTGAAGCAATCGTACGTGGATATTTGACCGGAAGTGGATGGAAAGAATACAAACAACATGGTACCGTTCATGGAATTCGATTGGCAGAAGGAATTGTTGAAAGTCAAGAAATTCCAAACGGTCCAATCTTTACGCCAAGTACAAAAGCTGAACAAGGAGCACATGATGAAAATATTCATCCGGACAAAGTTAAGGATATCGTTGGTGCTCAACGTGCTGAAGAGATTAGCAAAGCAGCAATTCAACTTTACACCAAAGCATCCCAACATGCACGTTCTCGTGGAATCATTCTTGCTGATACCAAATTCGAGTTTGGCTTGATTCCACCTTCTTCGTCCGATCGACAAACTTTGATCCTTGTTGATGAAGTTCTAACGCCTGATTCATCAAGATTTTGGGATGCTAATGCTTATAAAGCCGGGGAATCTCAAAGCAGCTTTGATAAACAATACGTTCGTGATTGGTTAAAATCAAAAGGTTTAGATAAAGCCGCAGATGAAGGTACAAAAGTCAGCTTGCCATCCGATGTTGTACAGAGAACAGCAGAAAAGTATAGAGAAGCATACGAACGTATAACGGGAGAGAAGTGGAATTTGCAGTAGACCTCATCGTATAATGTACCATCAATCAGACAAACGAATGAATACAATCGAAGGAATTTAGAGTGATACAAAAGCTACCGAAAAGCCGAGATGGCGAGACATTTCAGATTCGTTGGAGACGGCAACCGCACCTCATAGCCCATCCCTTGAAACAAGAGAAGGAAAGCAGATTGAAAGAATCGCAATATTGTCAAGTACAGTACAAAAGGGGGAAAGGAAGGTGGAGTAGATAGAAGCCAGTAAGTAGCCGAACGAAGATCATTTGAGCAAGCAGAGAGTCATTATTGCATCGAACCAACGAAGCGGGGTAACATATGGCAGATTTTCTGGTCGATGTTATGCTCTTCTTGACGAGGTATGATCTCGCTTTGCCTATTGCCTTTTATCTATTTATTCGGCTGCAACACCACCTGCTGACTTTTTCTTGCCACTTGATTTGATCAAAGTCTTGTGAATGTGAGGCAAAACACCACCTCCTGCAATAGTTGCACGGATTAAACTGTCCAATTCTTCATCACCACGAATTGCCAATTGCAAATGACGAGGTTGAATACGTTTTACCTTTAAATCTTTGGATGCATTTCCTGCTAATTCCAAAACTTCAGCAGTGAGATATTCCAAAATTGCACTTGCATAAACTGCTGCTTTTCCACCAATACGAACGTTGTTTTGCGTTCTTGATTTTAATAAACGATGAATACGTCCAACAGGGAATTGTAATCCTGCACGACTGCTTTGAGTAACGGCTTTTGCCTTGTTATCTTTTGAAGCACCAGCTTTACCACCTTTGGATTTAGCGTCGACCATCTTTGCGGATGTTTGATAATAAGTTCGGTTTGGGGAAAGAGGATGGATAGATTATTGTTGTTGCTGTCGTTATGAAGACGGATAACGATTATCTCTTTTTTTGATGAAGATGATTGCTATAATGACATCCCAAACCAAAACAAACAACAATCAAAAGTCAACGAAATCACGCTCGGACAAAGAATTACGCTCTTGAGAAAGACGCCTTTTTTCACTGTCACTACACTGTTCAAATGCCTACTTTCCTTTCGCGTTTTTCGCGTCAAGGTCTCGCAGCGCACGCACAGCTTAAAGAGGCATTCATTTTAGTGCAAGTCAAAGCGATCCTCTCGGCATGAGAACAGTATGTGCGTATGGCTAATAAAGTCCACGTAATTTTGTTTATACCATCTCACGCCATTTCCAAAAACAAAGACTTTCATGGTGTAAATACACATATAATACAGATGAATGCCTAGCATGTGCTTCTGAAAAGTATAAATAGTGCTTCTATTGGACACACAGAATGAATTGGGACCTCTTTCGGACACCATGGATGGATGACTACAGTGGATCACACAATTTAACACACCATCATAATGTTATCACAAGATTAATTCACATAGAACGAGAATAAGAATACAAAAGGGAGAGAAAGAAACACTCTGAATCTGTAAAGATTGTTCGTGAAACCAGATTCCCTTTGTTTTACACAACGTCAGATGAATTTAGAAAATCTGTGACATTTTACGGTTTGGACTTTTGGTGATTTGATATTGATTGTTGATTTGTAGTATACCTTCGGTCATATGCGAATCGGTACACAAGCTTCTTGCAGGGGGACCTTGAGTAAAGGCGGCAACCATCGCGATAATCGATCAGAGAAATGATCCAATGAGCTGATAGAAGAGAGAACAATGACATGTCAGGAAATGATGGATGAAGTAGGTGCTAAACAGTTGGAACTCACCAATCAAACCTTCACAAAAACCGATCTTGTGACCACATAGACCTTGATCGATTCAGTAAAGATCATGCTAGAACAATTGGGCGGACAAAGGCGAAAGAGGTTGTTTTCCATCTAAATGTGTCTCACAAAGAATGCAAGAATGGACCACCTTTCCCATAACCCCATCGACTAGATGATCAATCGAATACGATCATGCTCACTTGGAGCGTTGGCGCATCTTTCTACGTTTACGGCGCAATCTGCGCATTCTCTTCTTTCTCCACTTAGCTCTCATCTTGGCCGGCTGAAAGGGTAACGAGGAGAAAGGATATGAAGTCAGTTAAATATGATCCTTTTCATCTTGTCTCGATTGCCTTTGTTATCGTTTGATACACACCTTTACCGTTCAAATTGGTGAGAGCGAGTTGATGGAACGGAAGAAGGATTGGTTGGAATAACGTAGCTTGTCCTTATTCACTACACATTGACTTTTGTGGGTGCAGTCAATGCGCAATACAAATGTGCGCATGAATACAATTTTAGGGCAATAACAGTATTCATATTGTACGGCAGTGTATTCAACTTCTTCAAACCTTTTTATGTGTCTTACTGCGCACTCGCTTAATCAGACTGGCAATACCTCGGCCGAGCCCCACATGAGAGCTAATTCCATTCAACAGCCATTCTAGAGCAGTGGACATATTATACTTATGGCCATGAGAGTCATGGTGATATCTAAACGAATAAAATAGAAGGAATAGCTATAGCATTGAGAGGCTCACTTTGGGTGAATTAGCATTGCGAAAGGTAAGTTTGCTGAGGATAGAGTCTTACCGCTGTATTGTCTGAGATTCATTTGCTCACGTGTTCAGAGTAGGTGTGATTAGATAATCGCGTCTCTGTCGCATAGCCCACGTCCATCATTTCGTCCAATAATTTATAGATGGTGACACAATTATCGTGGATATTCTATACAAGACTTGAATATAGAATCCTATTTGCGTAGAGAGAGGAACCTCCGACGTGCATTCACCTTAAGTCTTGGTAGAGCAAGAAGCATGAAAAAAAAACTCTGTTTGGCATATATTCATTGCCCGTCTGTAATTATGACAATAAATTATGAAGAAGTTGTCGTTGGCTCAAAGTGGCTTTGATCGAGCTTTTTGGGCGGCAGGTGAAGTATGATAGCTAAAATAACTTAAATTATCGCTAGCGATGTCACTACTATGTGCCTCCCGCAAGAATTCTGAAGAAATTGTGCGGACAATATTCCACCATATTATTTTGAATGACCATTTATGGAGCCAATATTAATGCACTTACCATTCAATCGGGCATCCTGTCGCCGGGCGTTAGCATAGATCTTAGGAATTGGTCAATCTGATTTTTGCCGATGGGGAATTGTTTTTGAATAACATTTTTGTTGAGTGTACATAAGGCATCATCACCATCATCACGGTCACATTAGAACATTACACTTTTGATTACAACGAAATAACGCAAGGATCGATCAAGACAAACGACAAACGCATAGAGGATTTCACCGAACAAAAGGATATGAATCATGTTTTGAGGTATGTCAAATCTGCTGATTCTAGACATGACAGTATCGTTGATCAATCTATCATCGGCGATTGTATTCTTATCCTGTTACTGGTAAAGCACATGTCTCATAAATAACATTTCTAAGAGCGCTTACATGAGCATCAGATGCAGTGATCTAACGTCCTTTCTGATGCGGTACCTCTGGCGTTTTACCAGGATACATCTAACGTTCCTTCCTGATGTGATACATCTGTAGTTTCTTCCTGATGTGATATCTCTGCAGTTTCTCCCTGATGTGATATCTCTGCAGTTTCTTCCTGATGTGATATCTCTGCAGTTTCTCCCTGATGTGATATCTCTGCAGTTTCTTTCTGATGTGATACCTTTGCAGTTTCTTCCTGATGTGATATCTCTGCACTTTCTTCATGATGTGATACCTCTGCAGTTTCTTTCTAATGTGATATCTCTAACAATCCTTCCTGATGTGATGTCTCTCCCGATACTTTCTGATGTGGTACATCTGACGATCCTTTCTGATGTGATATCTCTGGAGTTCCTATCTGACGTGATGCCTCTCCTGATCCTTTTTGATATGATACCTCTCCTGATGTTTTCTGATGTGCTAACTCTAACTATACATTCTGATGTGGTATCTCTGATAATTTCTTCTGACGTGATACCTCTGATGATCCTTCCTGGTGCGATACCTCTGACGGTGCTATCTGATGTGCTACTTCTAATGATCTTTTCTGATGTGCTACCTCTGACGAAGATTTCTGATGTGCTACCTCTAATGGTCCTTTCTGATGCGGTGTTTGTACCGGTACCCTCTATTAAGATACCTCTGGCTTTCCTTTCTACTGTGCTACCTCTGACGATGATTTCTGATGTGATATCTCTGACGATTCCTTCTGGTGTGGTATCTCTGACGATCCTTTCCGTTATGATACCTCTAGCGAACCCTCCTAATGTGCTACCTCTGACAGTTTTTTACAATATGACTTTGCCGAAGATCCTTACTGATATGGTACCTGTACCGGTCCATTCTGTCGTGGTATCGCCTTGGTTTCAAACTCTCATTCCCCGCAACAGGCAAGATCATGAAGTATCTCATTGCAAACTCTCGATCATACAAAACACTTCAAGTTGAGCTCACTGGTGGAATGTTTGCTTGTCGCCATCCGGCACCCATCAATCGTGCACTGGCTGCCAATGCTGTCCATCCCACAGCGCTAGATGGATCACCTCCAGTGAGTGCTTTGGTTGCGCCAGGCAGATTCAATCTTCCTCCGAAAAGGCCCGCTTCGCCAGCATGAGCAGCTTCCACCCGTCCAACAATCGTGATCCCTCCTTCAGGTATCTCGCTCAAATTCTCTTGCTTGACTTTTCTTCGTGCACTTTCCATGATTGCGGTCACGTCACTCTTGTCTATATCATCCCGTGCTCGCATTAAAGCTTCGAGAAAAGCTAACTGTGAGCCATGTGCTTTTGCAAACGTCCAATAAGATAAAAATACCATCGTCGATGATGAAGTGATCATCGAAAGAACCATATCCAAGACTTCAAAGCGCGAAGCAACATCTTCGGTAGATTTGAAAGAAGCAAACATCGATCGACATTCCTCAATGTCTGATCGCATTCGTTCACCCGCCGAAGGCATCCGTAATTTGCTGGTTCGCCGGAGAGAGCCTAGGTATGACGTCATGAATCGATCCATCAGATCATTGCACAACACATCAAATAAGTCCGGATTGACTCTTTCACTGTAATCAGAAGTATAATCCCGAATCGTTTCGATAATGGTTGTCATGATGCCTTCCGTATACCATTGCGGGTAAGAAAATAGATCCTTCAAGACCGGTCTCAGATCCGCAAAGACGAGATCGACCAAGACTTGGGTACAACGCTTGCTGACGTCCAGATATCCGTTAATCACATTGTCGATCGCTTCACGAATCTGTGGTTTGTACTTTTCTGAGACCATTCCCTCTACCCGCGTCATGAGTGCCTCGCCATAATCTGCACTCCTTAATTGATCGTTTGCCAGAGCGATCACATATTCTACCAATCCTTCTGTTACCTCTTCCGGTCCTTTAGCTTCTCTTTGCTTCTTGAATTCTTGTTCCAATACACGCAACCAAGTCGCCTGACTTGCACGCATCGCTTGACAAGCATGCGAAACGGCTCGGGAAAGAATGCTTGCTTGACCAGAATCTGCTGCAACATCCACTTGTTGATTAATCATTTGGAATAAAATCGCAGCATATTGCAGTCCGTATAATCCTTCAGAGCTTTCGTCGGGAGCACGTTCTCTTGCAACGAAATCGCGCACTTCATCCGACATTAAGTTGGCAGTCCATTCGTCAATCTTTCGGGTAATTAAGCCGAGATAATCATCGATTATCGTCTGTTCCTTTCCGCCCAACAAGCTAGGTTCAAGCCACTTCGAGTCAACATCAAGTTCTTTGGTCATTGTCTTCTTGTACTCTTGACCGAATTGATACAGAACCAACAAAATACTCGCTTCGGGATCAGTTGCTAAGATTCTATTGCGAAGAATTTCACCTAGATGCTTGTGATACGATTTAACGTAAAATCGGAAGATGTTATAATCACTCGGAAAGACTTTTTCCATCTCTTCCTTCACGAAATCCAGATCCTGGTATATCCAGTCTAGATGGCCAAGGAAATCAGAATAATCTGCACGTTCGCCTTCATCTTTCGGAGCGCCAAATCGGGACCAGCACTCGTCAAAGAGCTCTCGATTGGCTTCGTCCAGTCTCTCCATTAGCTTCGGTCGATACAATTTGATAACTCGCGCATTAGCAATGACGGATCGGAATCGAGCCGCTCCTTCCAAATTTGCTTTTTTTGCAAGTCTGATAGCTGCTGCTTTTTCATCTTCCCGACTTTCCTTCTCTATGATCTTTAAGACCAGAATCACAATCGTCAGATGTCCATTACGCAATAGCTCCATCATTTGACTGCAAATTTCCATCAGATATGCTTCAAAGCGCTTTATCAGACCATCCAATGGTGAGAAATATTCATTGAGTGTTTGTCGAACTTCAGAGGAGCATCGGCGACCGATCTGAACTGTCTCATTGCGGAACAATTCCAATTTGGAGATGTGAAAGTGCAGCACAAGAATATCATTGGATGGATTGAGTAGATCCTCTTGCGCTTTATGCAATCGTATCGCCAAAGTTTCAATCTGAGAAGGAAGCTTTTCTAGCTTTTCCAGTATGGAAGCTGTTTCGACAAAATTACGATGGATTTGTGAAACTTCACTGATCACACGGAAGCTTCTTGATGCATTGGTATTGCGCGATGTTGAGGTCATGCCATCATGTGTGCCCATACTTTCACCGCATATGCCCTCAATCTCGGTGAACGAATCACGAATGGAAGTCACATCTTTCCGTGTAGCTTGTAATTTGATCAATCCATCTCGCGTGGCTTCTAATTGTTCTTTTGCCCCGCTTTTCAATTTTGCCGAGAGAGAGCTTTGTTCTTTAAGAAGTTTCTTTCGTAAAGCTGGTATCTTTGCAAGATCATCAGGTGATTTGAGATGATCGGCAACTAGATTGGTAGAAGAGACAAAACCTGGCGCTGCAGGATTGAATGCGTTTGGTGATAAGTTACCTATTTGTGGTGATTCATTTGTTGAAGCTCCAACAGATCTGATATGAACCATTGTCGTTTGCCATCAAATCTTGTACAAAGCTGGCTAACAGCCAAGCATATTGATCAAGATTAGATGGTAGAAGGTTGTTCAAAGTACCTCATCACGCTCAGACCCTCTCATAGGCGTGTGCGGCCCCGTGGCTTGGGCTTAAAAGTGCAGCATTTTAAAAGGCGTAAAGGTCCAACACGTGTGTGTGTTTGAATAAAAGATACTTTTATGTTACTCCTTCTTCCTTACTCTTTACCAAATCATTCCCAAGTTTGACATACACTCGACATCAAGAAGTAAGTCAGTCGTTTGACTTGATCAAGGCTTAAGACTTCAAGTGCAACTGTGCTTGAAGTATCGGCATCAAGACACCATGTCACGAGTACGTTTTCGCTTTCCTACTTTTCATAATCAATTGACTTCCTTTTTGGGCGTTCTAGATTTGCGGGTAGGAGCAACTGTGATCACTTTATTTGCTCTCTTTAACAAGATTGCAGGAATATACGGAGTGATTGCTATCTTTCAAGGTGGAACGTTTTCACAAGTATCACTATATTTGTACAGTTTAATCACATTATTCCTCTTCCTTTGGGCTATTCAAGGTATATCGGATGAAGATTCATCAAAGGTGATGCGCTACTCCCATTTGTTCTTGGCCGATCATATGCTCAGTACAGCTTGGACTTTATATTTTGGCTTAGCTTGGTTCCTTTTCAATCCTCATGATGGGCAAAAACCCCCATTAAACGAATATCAAGAAGGATTGATGGGTTTGATCGAGAGCATTGAAAGTCAATATGAAACGAGCAAACCTATTCATCATACACCTTTGACTGGACAAGCACGCATAGATGCTGCTCAAAGGGTCTGGAAAGGTGAAAGAGGCTTTAGCGCTTTTGTGTTGATCTTTGGATGGATGATCAAAATCTATTTTGCTATGATTTTGTATTCCTATGCAATGCACCTTCGTCATGGCACATATCGTACTTTGCCTTTATCAAAGCCAAGTAACTTTACACAAACAAATGGCAATTATCAAGCTATTCGAGGTCAATCTTTCGAATTGGATGGAGTAGATGAGGAAGAAGTTGGCGAATGGGAAGAAGGACATGAAGCAGTAGGACCGTCAAAGAATAAGAATCAAGGTTCTGCGACCGGTAATGGAACGGCAAGAAGCGATGGAGAGAATGCTCAAGTTGGTGCGGGAATATCAAGGCCTTTGAGTCGATCGGCGGGAAGGACGGCAAATCACTCCGATTGGCAAAATGACGAATGAATGAATGAATGTATTCTAGATGACATGTACTAATTAAGGATTACCTTTCATGATGATGTTGTTGTCTGATTCACTTTGAGCTTCTTCGTCAAGCGCATACTATTAGGCAATGCTAAAACAGGCTCGCTCGATAAGCGACCGGCAGCCATTGTTCTTGCATCTTGGGCCATCAATGCATCCATAATCGCCAAAGCTGCCATTGATTCTACAATTGGAACAGCTCGAGGAACAACGCAAGGGTCATGTCTTCCACGTGTGGCCAAAGTACCTTGTTTGCCTTCATAACTGACGGTTTGTTGATCTTGAGAGATGGTAGCAGGAGACTTGAATCCGATTCGGAAATAGATATCTTCTCCGTTGCTAATTCCTCCTTGGATGCCTCCGCTCCAATTCGTTACAGTGCCAAGGGAACCATCTTCTTTTTTGATGAATAGATCATTATGTTTCGAACCTGCCACTTCTGTTCCTCTGAAGCCTGATCCGATTTCAAAAGCTTTCGTAGCCGGAATACTGAGCATTGCATGTGCCAATTTTGCCTCCAATTTATCAAAGCAAGGTTCTCCTAAACCAACTGGCACACGACGAATGACACATGTGACCGTTCCTCCGATCGAATCGTTTCTTGATTTTGCCAAAAGAATTCTCTGTCGCATACGATCCGCAGCCTCGGGATGTGGACATCTGATATCAGTCTTATCCACTTCAGATCTGGTTATCGAAGAGAGCAGTGATCGGAATTCTGCGCTTAGAGGTTCTTCACTTTCTTCATCCGTCATTCCGTTAGTTTGTATGGTATTGTCAATTGCCGTTTGAGAAGAAGCATTATCGATTGATTTGGAAGGCGCCAAATGTTCTCCAGGGAAGCGAGGGATGTGCACCTTACCAACTGATGAAACAAATGCAACGATTTCCACACCAAAAGCTTCTTTCAAGTATTTTTCCGCTACAGCACCTGCTGCAACTCTTCCAATCGTTTCGCGAGCGGAACTTCGACCGCCTCCTGAACTACTTTTAAGTCCATACTTTTCGATATAGGTATAATCTGCATGCGAAGGACGGGGATACAAATCCAAAGTTTCATCGGTGTAATCGTTTGGTCTTTGATCTTCGTTTTTGACCAACATTGCTAAAGGGGATCCTAAAGTGATTCCTCTTTCTACACCAGCTTGAATGTGAACCGCATCCTTTTCGTTTCTTGGCGTCGTTAGGTTGGATTGACCTGGCCGTCTACGTGAAAGTTGTAATTGTACATCCGATTCGGACAATGCCATTCCTGGAGGAACTCCATCGACGATACATCCTACCGAAGCACAATGTGATTCACCATAAGTGGTTACACGGAAATGACTACCAAATGTAGACATGCTGAAGATGATGATGGGTTTCCGTCAAGACGCATTTATCATCTAAGTCCTTCCAAATAAAAAATGAAAATTTTAGGAAGAACTTCGCGTGTGCGCTTAAGGCCTGCTTGCATGTGCATTTTGGCCCTGAGCTAGCGAATACAATTATTGTCAATGCGAGAGAAGTAGACTGACTGTCACTATTAATGCGTGCGTATGCCGAAAGCCGCTTCATACTAACCACCACAACCATCATTACCGCCATCGAATCAATTTGTATTGCTTGACCTTCTAAAGGACATTACAAGCACACAAAAATGGCATCATTGGTAGCCATTGTCGATGTGAAGGGCAAATCGCTCATTCAAAGGTCGTACAGAGATGATGTTGCACCTACACAAGTTGAACGTTTTTTACCTTTATTGCTTGACATGGAAGAAGAAAGTGGCGGAAGTGCTGTAAGCCCTTGTTTTACCAGCGAAGGCATAAATTACATGTTTATTCGACATAATAACCTCTATCGTAAGTACAGATAGGATTGAGTCAGTGACATCCTAACGCATCCAGCTGATTTGTTTTTCTCTTTCCACAGTCCTCGCTCTATCAAGACGTAATTCAAACGCATCTGAGATCTTACTCTTCCTACACAAGCTGGCTTCTGTCTTGGAGGAATATTTCAAAGAGCTAGAAGAAGAGAGTATTCGTGACAACTTTGTCATCATTTATGAATTATTGGACGAAATGATGGACTTTGGCTATCCACAAACGACAGAGAGTAAAATTCTACAAGAATACATCACACAAGAATCACACAAATTGGAGGTACAAGCACGACCGCCAATGGCAGTGACAAATGCCGTCTCTTGGCGTAGCGAAGGAATACGTTATCGTAAAAATGAAGTCTTTCTTGATGTTGTTGAATCGGTCAACATGCTCGTCAATGCAAACGGGAACGTGGTACGAAGTGAAATCTTGGGCGCGGTAAAGATGAAGTGTTATCTATCCGGAATGCCAGAATTACGTCTAGGTTTGAATGACAAAGTAATGTTTGAAAGTACGGGAAGAGCGTCAAGAGGGAAAGCGATCGAGATGGAAGATGTGAAGTTTCATCAATGTGTTCGACTTTCAAGATTCGAAAATGATCGAACGATCAGCTTTATTCCGCCAGACGGAGAGTTTGAATTGATGAGCTACAGATTGAGCACGCAAGTGAAACCTTTGGTCTGGGCGGAAGCTGTTATTGAGAGACATGAAGGCAGTCGGATCGAATTTTTGGTCAAAGTCAAAGCGCAATTCAAACGACGCTCAACGGCAAATAATGTAGAAATCCACGTTCCTGTTCCCGATGATGCTGATTCGCCAAAATTCCGTGCAGCTGTCGGTTCGGTTCATTATGCTCCAGAGAAGTCAGCAATGGTTTGGAAGATCAAACAATTAGGAGGAGGAAGAGAGTTTCTAATGAGAGCTCATTTTGGCTTGCCAAGTGTAAAGAATGATGAAATCTTGGATCGTCGGGCACCCATCAACGTCAAATTTGAAATTCCCTATTTCACCGTTTCGGGCATTCAAGTGCGATACCTCAAAATTGTCGAAAAGTCTGGTTATCAAGCATTGCCATGGGTTCGTTACATCACCCAGAATGGAGAATATGACTTACGTACTCAAAGTGACAAGTCACAGGCCCGTCTAGCGCCGTTTGCAGCATGATAATCTCTGATAGTATCACCGTACACTTTCCTCACGGACGAGCTTTTGGTGGTAGCACGCGGATCAGAAGCCTAGAAATACAATTGTTATACTATACATACATGCGTCATTCTCGCCTTTTTCTGGCTTAGAACCCATACCGAGATTTTGCTTCATTACGAGCTGATCGCCCCTTGGCCCACTTTTCCTCCAATTCATCCTTTTTCTCTTCAGCTTGAGCGATTAGACTGGATAATTGACCTTTCCGTTTAGCACGCAGATTGAGAGACTTTTCATTCTTCTTTTCACCTTCTTTCTCATCGGGAATGTGAATAGTAGATTGACCTGGACCTGCCACGCTAGCAGCAGCCAATGCATACTTTCGATCGATATTCGAATCGATTGATGGTTTATGAGAGGTATTTGCTTGACCAGCTTGCAAAGAATCTTTTTCGGCGTCATTTCGATGAGATTGTTCGGAGAGGAATTGTTGATATTGCGCATGTGCTTCAGGCGTGACTGGGAACCAGCTACCGTCCGGACCTTGTTGCCAACCAGCATAAGGATCTGTTGAATCGATCGCTTGTTCTTGAATAGCATCAGGTTCTATTCTCTGTTCCTCTTCAATTGTAGGTGCTGCTGAAATGGTGAAAGCTGATCGTTGAAACGATTGAGTGGGTGGCGGGATGCTTGTTTCATGAGCGATTGTCGATGTGAGATCTTTAGACGATGATGAGCGAGATTTGTTGAGCTCTTCATCCTGCGCTACAGAAGTTGCTTCTTGCCTGATTTTCGGTCCTGTCTTTGCATTGGTAGAGTCTTTCAAACCAAGCATTGCGCGGAAATCATTGTTACCCTTTGCTTTATTCTTGTCTAGGTCTGGGTCAACCAACGTGAGAGCACCAGATGAAGCGGAAGAAGACTGTAAGCCAAGATTGTTGATATTATCTTCTTCGATTTCATCTTTCTTTTTAGCTGGCAAGATGGGCTTTTGATGCTTTGGTGGAGGCAACATATTTAACAAAGAATGGCCTCCAGGCTTCTTTTCAGCTGCTTTCAATTTGAATTTTTTGGATTTATCATCTTGACCTGCAACTGATTCGATTCGAATCTGAAGTCTTTCTGCTTTTCTCTTGTTGGTATTCAAACCAGAAGTATCCTTTCTCGCCTCATTTTGGACATTTTCAATTTTTGGCTCACTCTTAGTAACGCTTCCGTTCAGTGGAGCATTTGAGGCTTCAGCATTCAAAGGTCCAGCGTCATCATCTGAGTCTGAATCATAGCCAGTCACCAAAGGCATGAATGGCAATGATGAATATGATGGTTGTTCAGTGTTGTTCTCTCCGGTCTATGCACAATCACGTGTAAGCAGATCAATGCGCTGCGCCTTTTCTTAAACTCTTTGCTTGTATTTGCGTAGGGTATAAATAACACGCGTCCATTAGATCCAACTTCTTTCCTTCATACTTGTACGTATCCAAAATACCAACCATTTGATTGATGATCATCTTTTGACTGACAACTCTTCTTTTTGCTATTCTCTCTCTTTCTATCAGACCTTGAGGTGGCATCGTCGCTCAAGCATGTCGATGTCGAGAGTGGACTCGTACCATTGCACGGCGACCATTTGTCCATTTTTCAGTACGAGACTGCTCCCGGTATATGGCTCCGCTATATACCGCCTTCCAATGTTTGGCCCTGCCCTGCTCCGCTTCGGCGGGGTGGGGCTTTTTTTTATGTCACTTTTTCGTTACCCTCTTTACGTCATGATGATGATGATGACGAATGAATGCATGCTGTCCCACTCGATTGAATGAGATTGAGCAGCTAAGACTGATTTCAGAATACAAGAATAGGATCGAATTCCATCATTTTGATCTTCTATCTCCATATTTACAACGATCTTTGACACTTCTAGAATAGAATCAGCCTTTTGCTCGTCCATCATCTTCTCCCTCTCCCTCGTGATCATATTCTCGGATGGACAAGTCGCGTGTCTAATTTCACTTAGCATGGCCCATGCACCGCCCGGCTGCTTAGCCTTTAAAATTCAATTTAAGCCACGCTTGCATGCATATATTCAATTAGAATAGCTTAATTTCTTATACTAATTTAAGCACGTTGCCTTTCATTCAATTCCACGTTCGCTCCTCTCCCCGTATTCTTCCCCCCTTACCTTTTATAATAGCAATCGACACCGCTTAAAAGTGAATAGGAAGTATGGCTTGGACCTCCTCCTTCTCCTTTCATACGTTTGAATCGTGTGCGTGTGACAAATAAACATTTTTAGTTCATCTTTTTGGACCGTGCGCAAGAAGAATGATGCATTAAAGCATTCAACATTCATGCTATGACCCCAACCAGGCTCAAGCGGCGGCGGGTACAAATGATGTCAAGTGCAAATCCTATCTGTCCCCTTTTCTTCTTCTTCCCATCAACAGACAATTGTCATCTTTTTCATCTCATCACCAAATCTTCTTCATCTTCTTCCTTCATCTTCTCATTTCCCCTCCAAGAAAAAGATAAAAGATTTGAGTCACTTCACCATCATGTCTAATGTACAAAAGACATTGGCTGATTTGGCTTCCAACTTTGATGCTTTGCCAAGCTATGCTCGCTCAGCTTCATTGCCAATCCGATTTGGATTGTACTTCCTATTAAGCATCTTGGCAATCGCCTGTTTGGCTCGATTTGTTAAACCTGTTCGAACCATTCTCGTGTTCGCATACACTTGCTTTTTACAACCAATCGGTCAACATTCCAAACAAAGTGAACGTCTAGATGCCTTTTACCAAAATCAAGCAACAGGTGAGTATATAGAATATGAGATATTCACCATGTCAAATCCTCTAACGAATCCTTCTCGCCTCCTTTGCAGTATATGATGCTACAAGAAACAGTCTTTTGCGTGGACGTCGAACCATGTTGAAATTGGTTGCTGCTCAATTACGTGAAATGCAAAAATCCAATCCAGGCAAACCTTTGGTGTGGGTAGACATTGGCGGCGGGACGGGCTGGAACATTGAACAAATGTCGGAATACTTTCCAATCGAACAACTTGATCAAGTTTACTTGATTGATTTATGCGAACCTTTATTGCAGGTTGCTCGTCAACGTTTCAATGCTCGTGGATGGAAGAACGTTCGTGTTCTTTGTCAAGATGCAAAAGAATTCCATTTACCCGATTTGCAAGAAGGTCGCAAAGTTGATTTGTTCACATGCAGTTATAGTATCTCCATGATCCCTCCTTTTTATGCCGTTTTGGATCGTGTCAATGATTTCCTTGACCCTGAGACCGGTGTATTTGGCGTGGTTGACTTTTATGTTTCGGGAAAGACTCCGTTTTCAGGCGATAAGACTGCTTTGATCGGTGGTGATTCTCGTCGTCATTGTGGTTGGTTAAGCCGATTCTTCTGGAGTCACTGGTTCGAATTTGACCATGTTGAATTGCACCCAGCAAGACGTGACTACTTGGAATACCGTTTTGGAACGATCAAATGCTTTAACGGTCGCAATGACTTTATCGTACCATTCATCGTTCGTATTCCTTATTATATTTGGTTGGGATGTTCAAGACAACGTGATACCACAAATGCCATTCAAGCATTCGAAGTGGAAGCAGGTAACCGTGTCATCGTTCCTCCTTCTTTCCCTGAATTATCTTTCTCGCACATTTTGCAAGCAACACAGGCGGCACAAATTGCTGAAAAAGGTGGCTTAGACTCGGCAATTTCCACTTCCGCTTTTGATATCACTGGACACCAAGGTAACAGACTTGTTCACCGTCGTGAATCAGAGCATGGTTCCGTCAGTTCGACTTCATCTGCTTTCCGTATCGACCTTGGACCTCATGTTCCATTGAGCTCATTCCATTATCAACGTCGTCAATGGCGCTTGCCATACATCGATCCTGATTTCGCCAGTTTCCGTTCATTCATTTACGGTTTCACTTGGGAAGATCCTCACGTGGACATGCAACATTTGGGACTCAACAAAGACTCTTCCATCTTGTGTATCACTTCTGCGGGAGATAATGCTCTGCATTATGCTGTAGACGCTGAGCCCAAACGTATCCATTGTGTTGACATGAATGCTTGTCAAGGTCACTTGCTGGAATTGAAGTTGGCCTGCATCGCTTCGTTGGAATATGAAGAGTTTTGGACTTTGTTCGGAGAAGGCAAGAATGAAAAATTCCGTGAATGGCTCGACAGTCGTATCTCACCTTATCTCTCCTCGCATGCCTATCAATTCTGGAGATTGAACAATTCTTACTTTGACAAGGCCTTTTACTTCCGTGGATATTCCGGTCATGCTTTGCGTTTGGCCAAAGTCGCTTTCGCTTTGGCAGGAGTTCAAAAGCACGTTGATGCTTTTTGTGCAGCAAAGACTGTCGAAGAGCAACAAGCTATCTGGAATAAACATTTGCGAAAAGCAATGATTAACAAGCAAATGATTCGTTTCTTCTTGAGTAATCCGGCTTTCTTGTGGAACGCATTGGGTGTTCCCATGAATCAATACAATTGCTTCCGTAACGAAGGTGTAACCGTTGAACAATTTGCAGTTGACACCTTGGACACAATCGCAAGCCGTAACTTGGTACGTGATAATAATTATCACTACAAATTATGCCTTCAACACAAATATTCGAAAGAAAGTTGTCCATTATACCTTAAAAAGCAAGCTTACAAAAAGTTGCAAAAAGATGCATCTGCATTACTGGACACCTTTAGATTGCATACGGATTCAATCGTAAACGTTTTACGTGGCTTCCAAGATGGAAGTTTGACACATGCAATCACTATGGACCATATGGATTGGTATGATCCCGTTCCGGATTCACAACCTGCTCCAACGATTGAACAAGCAAGACGTGATCAAGATAAATCGGTGAGCGATTTAGATCGTGAAATTGTTGAATTGAGCAGAGTGATCGCTAAAGGAGGAGCAGTATTTTGGAGAAGTGCGGCCAAAAAGCCATGGTACAATGCAAGATTTGAAAAGATGGGTTTCCGTGTGGAAGCCGTTCATATTCGTGAAACTGGTAAACCGATCGATAACGTAAACATGTACGCATCCTTCTATAAGGGAACTCGCATTTGATCTTGTAGAGTAGCCTCTCAAAATATACATCTATACATCTTCCAATATTCTGAATGGTGCGCTTGACTCTTTCCTTCATCATTGGACTCACGCGGGAGTGTAAAAGTGATGGATATGAGCATGCTAATGGCAATACTTGCGGGCACAACAACTATACAGACTCTCAAATCAGTTCTCGGCGGAACTATTTCACCATACAAAGCTGCAACTCATCATCACAACCTGCAAAGCGGGACGTTGCTGCAGAGTTTTCAATGGATAAGAGAGGTTCCTCTTCTTCTCTAGAGTCTGCTAATATTTGCTTGTAAGAGCCCGATGAATGCGAGTGTAGAGACATCATGAATGAAGAAGCTTTGACCGGCTTGATCAACCTCACTTCAAAACAAGCAACGATGACGTACTTCTTTGGTAATGTTGAACGGATGTAAAGCCAAAGAGTGTGAAGTGAAAGCATGGAGAGGAGGGCAGAGAAAAGACAAATGTTGATGTCAAGTGTGCCATTTCTTATGTTGTGCCACTTGTTTGAATGCTATGTCATGATCCGATCTTGAGCGACGTACGAGATGATCTTTCATGAATCTCAAAAGGTTTTATCTGGTCGGCTTTTGAATGCGGATGAGAAGAGGCTACCAACAGTCTCTTCTTACTCCGCTATCATCATCTTCTCCTCATTCCACCGTCATCATCCTCTTCCT